TTGATAGATTATAGATAGATAGATAGATAGATAGATGGTAGATAGATAGATAGATGATAGATAGATAGATAGATAGATGATAGATAAATAGAGATGGATGGATAGATAGATAGATAGATAGATAGATAGATAGATAGATAGATAGATTTAAAAGCATATACAAATACTGTAAGCGATGGTTGATAGATAGATGATAGATAGATAGATGATAGATGATAGATAGATAGATAGATAGATATGATAGATGATGGATAGATAGATAGATGATTGATAGATAGATAGATAGATATAGATGATAGAGATATGATGATGATGATGAAGATAGATAGATAGATAGATAGATAGATATATGCAGTCAAAACACCTATAGTTGGATGGATAGATAGATAGATGATAGATGATAGATTAGATAGATAGATAGATAGGTAGATAGATGATAGATAAATGATAGATATAAGATGATAGATAGATAAAGATAGATGATATATAGATAGATGGTAGATAGATAGATAGATAGATATAGATGATAGAGATAGATAGATAGATCTATAGATTGATAGATCTATAGATTGATAGATAGCTGATAGATAGATAGATAGATAGATAGATAGATAGATATGATAGATGATGGATAGATAGATAGATGATTGACAGATAGATAGATAAATAGATATAGATGATAGAGATAGATAGATCTGTAGATTGATAGATAGATAGATCTATATACATAGATAGATGATAGATAGATAGATAGATAGATAGATAGATAGATAGATAGAAGGCATGGTGCCTTATCTTCTTTCTTCTGGTATTTGTACAGTTCAGCAGCAGTTTTTATACTATTTGATTTACCTGAGACACAGGAATCAAACCCTTAGAATATATTGGCTTAAGACCTTGGACCAAAGTAGGATCTGGTTCAAGTTCATGTGAATGGACCATACAGGAAATTTGTAGATACTTTAAACAGAAATATAAACCTATGAAGGGTAGAGATGGTTGGACCTCTGTAGTGTGTAGAAGGAAGGCTCCATGGCAACTCTCAATGACCATAATCCATCCTGTGCTGTGGCTGACCCACAGAAAGATGCTCTAATGGGCTCGGCCCTCAACAGTAAATATCCAGTCTGACAGCAAGTCTGGAACTTGATTGTGATATAGTGCAAATATTTTGATCGTTGGAGTCAACTAATTCTAGAAGTTTTATAATCAAAGGTGTTCACTTGGACAATGTAGTTCATCTCTACCCACTAATAGTATTCATTGATAAAATAAAGATGAGACTTGAGCCAAGCAATTGCTCTAAGGTATGAAGTAAGGTCAGATACAAAAGTGGCTGACCCACAGGTCCTTTCCCTACCTCTGAAAGAATTTCCCTGCAGGCTATAGGAAACAACATGAGCCCAGTTCCTGTTTCAAGAGGTCATCATGGGTTTATTACAAGATTGCATGTCTGTTCCTTCACAAGTGGCAGAGTAGTAAGCCTACCCCAAGGAAATGTAGACTCACAAGGAGAGACATAAAAATGGCGTGACCAATTAATGGTTAATTGTTTGTGGTGTGCCTCAGAGTAACAGGGGCACATCTAGTCAGAAACACAATGGCTTGATAAAGGGAAGCATTGTGTCAGGTTCAAACTTTATAGAAAATTCGGAAAACCAAATGGAACATGACTTAAAGAGTGAGAGCAAAAGTGGAGGCAGAAAGTTTAATAGTTCACTTTCAGAGTATCAGCATGGGAATGGGAAAAGTGACAAGGGGCAGACAGACAGACAGACAGTAACATCTGGACTTGCTTTCCTGTAGACTGAATGCACTAGGGGAATTATGGAAGAAAAGATTTGAAGGAGACAATAAGAAAAATGTTATCACTCAAAAAGAGTGAGAGCAAAAGTGGAGGCAGAAAGTTTAATAGTTCACTTTCAGAGTATCAGCATGGGAATGGGAAAAGTGACAAGGGGCAGACAGACAGACAGACAGTAACATCTGGACTTGCTTTCCTGTAGACTGAATGCACTAGGGGAACTATGGAAGAAAAGATTTGAAGGAGACAATAAGAAAAATGTTATCACTCAAGACTGAAAGAAACGAAACATTTTTTGTTTTCCTGCCCCACACAGGTGGACTTGGACCTTAAACATTCTTTATTACTGCAAAATGCAGCTTTTCATCTGGGTTTGGTTTGGTTTGGTATTTGGGTTTTGGGGGTCTTTTGGTTGTGTGTGTGTGTGTGTGTGTGTGTGTGTGTGTGTGTGTGTGTGTACTAGCGATTGAATCCACATTCTTGCACTTGATAGGCAAGTGCTCTACATTGAGTTATACCCCCATCTCCTCAATCAATAGTTTATTTACTTTTATTTTATTTGTATGAGTGTTTCCCTTCATGTATGTAAGTATACCCATGTATGAAATGTCTGCAGTGCCTGCAAATACCAGAAAAAGGCATTGGATTCCTTGGCACAGGAGTTAAGGATGGTTGTTAGCCACCATGTGGGTGTTGGGAACTGAATCCAGGTCCTCTGCAAGAAAAGTTGGTGCTCTTAACCACTGAGCCATCTCTCCAGCCCCTCAACCAATATTTAAGAGATCTGATAAGCTGTCAGTAATTTATTAAAATAAAATATTATGACATTAGACTGTGATCAAAATGCCTATATATTCTGGATTTAAAACCAGTACGTGTGATGTAACAATGACCATCTTCTGTTAGCTGTGAAATTAATTACTAAATAGTTACTCGAAGTATTGCACATTTAATATTTATAGATTTACTTTTATTTTTTAAAAAATCTAGACTGATCTGTAAAATCCAGAATATAGTCACTAGCCAGAGAATTATTCGCTCCAATTAAAAATACATCAAAATATAATTTTAATATTAAATCTTCAACCACTTAGTGAAAAATACATGTATTTTGCTTGGGTCAACTTGAATATCATGATTCTCCAAATCCATTTGGGTTCTGTTTTTGAAATAACATTGTGCTTCAACAAGTAAGGCATATTATCTCTGAAGCCCAGTTCAGATATTAATGGCATGAGAGAGTGAATCAGCTTCTTTCCTATCTAATTTAGGACTAGATTAAGGTACTGCTGAAACATTCAAATACCACTACATCTATGGTAACTTTAGGTAAGAAATACCAAATTCTTTGTTCTGTTTTTTTTCCCCAAAGAAACATAAAAGCCTATACAATTTCCTGTCAGCATTATAACCTAATTGGGGGTGGTTTGCCCTGATAGTTCATATATCTTCAGAATTTTTTGAATTAAGTAGTTTGGTGTCCACCCTAGATTTACTATTAATATTTAATATTAAACTATTTAGAGAATTACATTGAGATAATTTGTATTTTCCAAATTTTAGGTTAATTTCTACCATAGATGAAAATTCCCCAGACTAGAGACTATTTGCTCAGTTTTACAATTTACATAAGAAAGCTTGCACATAAGCTGATAGCACCAACTCATGGATATAAACAGATACATTTACTACAATTTTTGTACATATTTAATACAATTAAATACATAAGATTGATTAAATCTGGGGCTGGAGAACTGGTTCAGTGGTTAAGAGCGCTGGCTGTTCAATTCCCAGCACCCACGTGGTGGATAACAATCATCTATAACACCGATTCCAGAGGATCTGACACCCTCTTCTCACCTCCATGGGCATTGCACGACATGGGTGCACTTACAAGCAGGCAATACTTTCATACACATAAAATAAAAGTAACAAATAAAATATTAAAATATTAAATTCTTTCTCAGGAAATAGATTCTGATACCATCCACAATTATCCTGGGCAACAAAATCTGTTCAACTTCATTACACCATTGTATTCCAAGGCCCACTGAAAATCAAGCTGATGACATGGCTAAGTTATGGTCACTAAAATTTAGTGTCTCCTTACAGTTATATCTTAAATGTCATCTGGGCTGCCTGCAGGATAAAGTGTAGATGGCACTTTGTTCCACCTCCTCTGCCCTTGCTTTACTGCTGTTTAGAACTTTCAATTAATCACACTCATTCATTGAAATCTTTGGGGTTTATTATAAAGTGGAAAACCAAACCACATAACCACAATGACACTAATTCAATGGGTCATTGAACTGCTAGCTTGGCCAGAGAAGCAATCTTCAATGAGCTACATATGCATAACTCCATGAACGCTTCCTTGAGGAAGAAAATTATATTTGTATGTCATCTTTTAATGGCATAGCATGTTGAAAACTCTAGAGAAAGAAGGAATTGTCCACTGTTTTCAATGAGTTCTTTTTCAGTAAATTTTTCATTTATTTTTCAGTGAATTTTTGTGGCTACTTGAAACTTCAAAGAACTCTTTTAAACCACTTTATTACATATAGAATAGAACTTCAACTGTGAAAGGAGAAGGATTTCTGCAAGTGCATAGAAATGTTATTATAGAAAATGAAATAAGGCTGTGACTGAGTAGCAACAGAGGTGTGACACCAATTTGCTTAGAATGTTCACAGGTGGGTTCATTAGCAGACCCTATTTGCTTTCTATGATTTTGATGGAGAAGACATCAAAAGGATTCTGAACTTTCTACCAGAGTCCCAAAGTCTTAAACATGTGGTGTTACTGGCAGAGTAGGTAGTCCATACAGAAAACACTGTAAGTTTAGTTTTTAGTCTACACTTAATCTATGAAAAATGTTTACCAAGTAGTTCAAAATAATAAGGGCTATTTGGTTATACCTTCATAATTTTGGCTTCATTTGATGTATGTAAAAAACCCTCTGGGGGAATGGAGAGATGGCTCAACAGTTAAGAGCACTGGCTGCTCTTGAAGAAGACCCAGGTTCAAATCTCAGCACTGACATGGTGGCTAACAATCACCAATAACTTCAGTTCTGGAGGATCCTACACCTTCTTCTAGCTTCTGCAGGCATTGTATGACATGGGTATACTTACATACATGCAGGCATAACACTCATACACATAAAATAAAATAAATGAATAAAAACCCCTGGGACTTGCTTCAGCAACACATATATTAAAATTGGAATGCTACAGAAAGGATTAGCATGGTCTCCGTGCAAGGATGTCACAGAAATCTGTGAAGATTTCCATATTTAAGTACAGCTCATGAGTAGATTTTGGGTTGGAAATTATAGATTTTGGAGGACACAAAATATTGTGATTTCACTGCTTTTGCCACCATTTTTAGGAGTAAGTATTCTGGGCCCTAACATCAAAATGTTGATACACTACCTAATTGATAAGCTTTTATTGGGAAGCCAATGAGTAAAGTCAATCCACTTAATTAATTTAATTCTACAGTTTATTATATGATGTAGTTTATTTCCCCTGTTCTCTAGTCATTTTCTATTTCCTTTTGATTTATTTTTTAATTTTTATTTTACGTATATGAGTATTTTGGCTGCATGTACATAAGTGTACCACCTGCACGCAATGTCCACTGAAGTCAGAAGAGGGTTTCTGATCTCCTGGAACTGGAGTTACAGATGGTTGTTGCCCACCATGTAGGTGTTGGTAACAGTACCAGATCCTCTGCAAGGACAACCAGTGTTCTTAAGCACTGAACCAGTTCTCCAGGCCCCATTTGTCATTTTTTTAACTGAAAATATTTCAATTGAGATCAGCTATTTGTTATAAAATGTTATGAAAAAATTAATTAAGCAATTTTGCCAGTATCAAAATTTATCACGGTTATACTTGTGTTTCTATGGCAACAAAATACCCAACAAAACAACAAGGGATAAAGGGCTTATTCTTGTTCATGGTTCAAAGGTACAGTTCATCATGGTGGGGAAGTCATGGAGACAGAAGCTCAAGGCAGCTGGTCACATCACATCCACAGTCAGGAAACAGAGAGTGCTGAACATTAGTGCTCAGGTCTTCTCCTTTGTATTCAGTCCAGGACCCTGACTGTGGAATGGTGCCACCCACAGTTAGCATGGGTCTTCCAAGCACAGGTAATCTTACTTAAGAGCACCCCATTCAAATTCATCAAACTCACTTGCAGCTGTGCCTGGGGGTGGTCTCCTAGGTGATTCTATATCCTGTCAAGTTGACAATCAATACTAACTTTTTTAAATGTTTGAGTGTATTGTCCACATGTATCTAAGTATTCCCATGTCATGCAGTGCCCATGGAGGCCAGAAGAGGATGTAGGATCCCCTGGAACTGGAGTTACAGCTGGTGTTAGCTGCCATGTCAGTACTGGGATTCAAACCTGTGTCTCCTGCAAGAGCAGCCAGTGCTCTTAACCACTGAGCCTTCTCTCTAGCTCCATTGATAATATTAACCATCACACACATATTCCAATCCTGAGCTATGCCCATAGCCAAGTTATATATTCTGATTATTTTGGGTAATGCTTTAAATAAACCAAACTTCCCTGCATCTAATATTATAAACATTTTAATGAGATATCATCATTGAGGCAGTGCAGATGGCTCAATTGGTAAAGTAGTTGCCATGTAAGCATATGGTCTTGAGTTCAGATCCCCAGCATCCATGTAAAAAGCCAGGCAGGCATGGTGGTATATTCCTGCAATTCTACTGTTGGGAAGATCCTTGGAGTCCCTCAGGCAGCTAGTCTTGGCAAATTACTGAGCTCCAAGTTCATTGGGAGAACTGTCACAAGAAATGAAGTGGGGAGCCGTACTCTGAACTCCACATGCACATACATGTGCACATAGACACAAACATGTAAATGCTCATGAATTCCTCCACATTATCATTCATCCTTTCAGTTAATGTTTTTTTTTATTTTTTTATTATTAGTGTGTGTGTGCGTGTGTGTGTGTGTGTGTAAGATGGGGATATGTGCTCACATGCTATAGCATGCATGTGGAGGTCAGAAGATGACTGTGGAGTTGGTTGCCTCCCCTCACTTAGGTGCATTTGAGGAATCAAACTCAGGTCACCAGGCTTGTGTGGCCGTGCCATATTGGCTGAGTGGTCTTACATCTTGTCTGCCCAATAATGTTTTGTTTTTTTCACAGACACTTACATGCTTACCATTCTCAGTTTCATTTTACATCGATTACTTTCTAGAAAGTTCACTTACTTGAAGTCACGTGGTCAAAATGTCCATGGGGTTACGATAGTAAATTAAGAACAGTTTGTGCAGCTGGGCATGGTGGCTAACACCTGTAATCCCAATACTTGAGAGGCCGAGGCAGGAGGAGTGACACAAACTAGATGCCAGCCTGAGCTACAGAGTAAGGCCTTGTCTCAAAATATCAAACATACATAAAGAGCTTGTGCCCTATCTTGTAGTGCAAGCCTGTAATCTCATCTACTCTGGGGCCAGCTTCAAAAGCTGAAAGTTCAAGGCCAACACTGTTACAAAAATGAGTGAGAGGCTAATTTATTCCCAACCTGCCTCAAAATTTATAAAGTTAAAAAAAGGGGCAGGGGGCTAGAAATATAACTGTATCTCACAAGCACTAACTTGTGCAAGGTTTAAGGTGTGAGCCCCAGTAGCAATAAGAGGAGGGGGAGCTTGTTTTGAATCATTCCAAAATCTGGAACAATACATACTACTTTAAATATTTTATTTCTTATTTATTTTATGTGCATAAGTATATTGCCTGCGTGTGTGTTAGTACAACGACCACTGAGGTCAGAAGTGGGCATAAGATCCTTTGGAACTAGAGTTATGGACAGATGTTAGCGGCCATGTGGGTAGTAGGACTCAAACCCAGGTTCTCTGCAAGATCAGCCAGTGCTCTTAACTACTGAGCCATCTCTCCAGCCCTCCACATTCTCACTTTAAAGTCAAAGAGAAAAATTAAACAGAAAGGGATTTAGATTTGAATGTGGCAATCTGTAACAACCAGTATTTCTTCAGTGACTCTATTTTCTACATCATTGCTCATTCTTTAGACTCAGTACTGAGTGAAATTGACTCTTTCTGACCAATTGGAATGAAACAATGACTTTGAATTGAACTGAATAAAACACGGGAAATTATTAGGGAGACAGGCATGTCCCCAAATTGTAATCACAACATTCAGAAGGCTGAGGCAGGACTATTTCCTTGAGTCTGAGACCAGCCTAGTATACACAGAAAGGTCAGAGTCAGCCAGGTCTTCAGAACAAGACCCTATCTTCAAAAAGAAAGCAGAATGAAGGAATGCATGCAGGCTCTTTCTAAATTTATTTCTTAATTTTTCATTGTGTATTTGTTGTGCATGCTACTGTTACATCTTCATATCTTCAAGTATATTGACAATTTTCCCCAAACCCTGAACTCTCCTTTTTACCCTTCCCCATCTCGATGGGCCCCTTTGTCCCTTTACAATTTCACTTCTAAGCTCATTCCATGTATGAAATTATGTAGTTATTTAAAGCCTAGAGACCAAACATTAGAAAAACGTGTTTTCTTTCTGAAACTAGCTTCATTCATTTAATTTTCCTGCAAATCACATAACTTCATTCTTCTTTATGACCGAATAAAAATTCCATCATGCATTTAAACCACAGTTTCTTTATCCATTCTCCTTCTGTTGGGCACCCAGGTTGGTTCCATAACTTAGCTATTGTGAATAGTGATGCAATGAATATTGATGAGCAAGTGTCTCTGTGATGTGTTGACTTGGAGTCCTTTGGTTAATACCCAAAAGTGGTACAGCTGGGTCATATGGTAGATTCATTTCTGGTATAAACCTCCTCCATGCTGAATCCTATACCAGTTGGACTAGTTTACATCATCACCCGCAGTGTACAAGGGCACCCTTTGTCCATATCCTCACTAGCATTTGTTATTTCTTTTCTTAAAATCACCACTCTGACTGGCATAAAATATTAGGGATCTCAGTGTAGTTCCAATTTACATTTCTAAGATGTGGAACAGACTTTCTTATGCTTACAGACCACTTGTATTTCATCTTTTAGAACAGTCTATTCACTTCATTAGCCTATTAATTGGCTGGGTTGTTTGATTTCTCATTATTTATTCTAATATTTATCCCCTGCAGATGTATATCTAGCAAAGATTTCCTCCAATTCTGTAAGCTGCCTCTTCCCTCAATTGACTGTTCCCTTGCTGTGCAGAAGCCTTTTAATTTAATCAGGTCAATTGTAGCATTATTTACTAAGTATTTGGAGTCCTTTTCAGAATGTCCTTGTGTATTCCTGTACCTTGCAGTGTTTTCTGTATATTTTATCTCTAATATTTCAGAGTTTCAGGTCTTGCATTAAACTCTTTGATCCATTTAGAAGTTTTTGTACAGGGTAAGAGATAGGGATCTAGTTTCATTCTTCCACATGAGAATATCCCATTTTCCAGTATCATTTGTTGAGGTCATCTTTTCTCCAATGTATATTTTTGACAATTTGTCAAAATGTAGGTGGCTGTAATCTCCCAAATAAAAATGTCCCAGAAGGGTCACTGCTGTGTTCTGCCAGATCATGTAAGAAAAACTAACATCAATGCTTCTCAAAAGGATTCCATAAAATAGAAAAGGAAAGAATGCTACAAAGTAACTTTTGTTTTTTTGGTCTTTTTGAGACAGGGTCTCCCTGTAACCCCAGCTGCCCTGGAATTCGCTAGGTATACCAGGCTGGCCTTGAACTCAGAGAGATCCGCCTGCCTCTGCCTCCCAAGTGCTGGGATTAAAGGCATGCACCACCACACCCTGCTCAAAGTAACTTTTAAAAAGTCATTATTATCCTGATACCATTATTATCCTGATATCCAGTATATAAAAAGACACTACAAAAAAGAAAATTATAGACCTATTTCCCTGGTAAATATAGTTGCAAAAATTCTCAATACTATATTTTCAACAAGGGGTTGGAGTGATGTCTCAGAGATTAAGACAGCTTGCTGCTTTTCTAGAAGACCTGAGTTCAGTTCCCAGCACCCATGTTAAGAGGCTTACACTAGCCTGTAAGCCAGCTCCTGGGACTCTGATGCCCTCTTATGGCCTCTGAAGGTACCACCACACATATGGCACACACAAACACACACACACACACACACACACACA